TCGAACTCACTACAACCAGCAAACTGGGCGACTAGACGAACTTTCCAACTCTTCTACGATATTCTTTTCTCTTCTTTCCTTATAAAGTTTTCTTATTCTCTTTAACACCTCTTGCGTCTTAGTGGCATTATCGCCTTTCTTGCGGTCAGTTGATTAAAAAAGGAAAGAAAAAGAAAAATCATTGTATATATGTAACTGGGTACCTCGAGGCCGTGTAATGGTTAGCAAGCTCATCTCGCTAGAACAATTACGACTGAGTGGCGAGTTCGATCCTCATCGAGTGCTCCAAACTTTCGGCCTTGTCCCACATCTAAACTACGCATAGAAAATCATTTTGGACACCTCGGCGCGGCGTAATGGTTAGAAAGCTTGTCTCGCTAGAACAATTACGACTGAGTAGTGAGTTCGATCTTCGTTAGATGCCTTGTGCCACATCTAAGCTACGCTTAGAAAATCAATTTATATATGCAACTAAGGACGTTTTTACTGGATGAGCAATAAGTGAGATTCTTTCCCCCCACACACACACTCACCGCTTCTTTGGTATATATTGTCTTTCTCGGCGCAGCTACAGTTATGGCTTTGTTCTGAATTTGGTGGTCATTTTAGCCACTTCAACGAAATGGCAGAGATGCGCTTGCATAAGGAGGAAAAAGAATATTTATCAATTTGCGTTGTACGGAAGCATCAAGGAGAAAAAAAAAACTAACTCGTGTCCCTACGGCTAGCATCAAAAAGACCTGGATGTAATATCGATAAGAAAAGTGTACGAGAAGAGAAAGCAGAGATACTGAAAGAGTCGACGCGAATAAACTACATGAAAAGCGTTGGATTACCCAGATATGTTTTTTTTTTTAGGCTTGTGACATGCAAATTTTTTTCTCTTCCTTGTTTCTTTGAAGAAAAGTTCAAAAGAAAGCTCGCTTTTTATTTTTTTAATTTTTTTATTGGAGATTGGTGGGGAGGGTTTCGGGAGTAAAATATGGAAGAACAAAAAGTTGCAAAAAATACGCAATAAGAAAAACATCCACAAAATACGGAAGAACAAACCCCCCGCCTCTCCACGAAAAGAAATATGGAATAAAAACGAGATCTTAAAACAAAACAAAAAAAATAATATGATTGAATCATAAAACAGGGATTAGACTTTTGACAAATTCATCTCCACTCGATTAATGATACCTTTATTGTTGGCCATTTTATACTTTTATCTCAATCTGTCTAATTCGTCTGGCTTTCGGGCTATCACAGACCCCCCACTTCTACACCAGCTTCACTCCCCCACCGGCGCCTAGTCCTGTACCCTTTCTTTTGTTACAGATTCCCATTCAATCTTTTTTTGCCAATTTCATTGCTTTTATATCCATTGGCATTCTCTCTCTCACTCTTTTCTCTCCTTCATATTTTCCCTTTAAATCAAATTGTTCTCCAGCCGACAATTTTTTTAAAGAATCTAACCTCTCTCCCTCTCTCTCTTTCTCCCTCTCTCCCCTCTCTCTCTCTCTTCCCCTCTCTCCCTCCTTCCCCCTCTCCCTCTCCTTCCCCTCTCTCCCCTCTCACCTTCCCCCTCTCCCTCTCCTTCCCCTCTCTCCTTCCCCTCTCTCCCTCTAAAATTTCCCTTCCCCTTCTCTCTCCTCCTCCCCTCTCTCTCTCCTTCCCCCTCTCCCTCCCCTTCCCCTCTCCCTCTCCTTCCCCTCTCCCTCTCCTTCCCTCTCTCTCTCACCCCTCTCTCTCTCTCTCTCTTGGCAGCGTTGACTTTTTTCTCGCTCGCCTCTCACTTCCGCGTTCTCCCTATTTGCTTCTCTAACGTCCTTCCCTCTCACTCTCTTTCTCACTCTATACCTTTCTCTTTTATTCTCTTCTTTTTTTTTATCTCTCTCTTTCTCGCTCTTCCTGCTTTTCTCTTTCTCTCTCTCTCAATTCCATTATCTTTTTCTTCATTTCTTTTCCTTCTTTCTTCCTCTTTCTTCTCTTTCTTCATTTCTCGTTCTCTCCCTTTCTTTTTCTCTTTTTTCTCTCTTTTTTTCCCCTTTCACTTTCACGGTCTCGCTTTCTTTCCCTCTCTCTTCCTTTCTCGATCTTGCTCTTTTTCTTTTCTCTTCTTCTCTCCATCACTCTTTTTCTCTCCTTTTCTCTCTTTTCCTCTCTCTTTCTCTCTCATTATTTATATATATATATATATATATATATATATATATATATATATATATATATATATATATATCACCCCTTTTCTCTTTCTCTGTATTTCTTTATAATCTTTATTTCTTTCCCTGTCTCTCTTTTTCTTTGTTCTTTTTCCCTGGTTTTTGTTTGTCTTTTTCTACGTCTTTTTTTATTATGACCGGCAAAATTTCCAGTTGAAATTCTTTTTTTTTCCGTTGCAAATCATTGCAAACGTTTAATGCCTTAACTTTTGTATTTTTCCCCTGGCCATCTTCCCCGAACACTCACCTGTTTCTCCTTTTAGTAGCACCTGTTATTTTTCCTACGTTCTACTTGTCAATTGTCTTATCATGCTCATTGATGACTAACCCTTCATAAGGCCGCAACAGTGAAACATTCATGGCTTGGCTTCGCAAATCGAAGATCAAGGAGGAGTCTATACACGTCGCTTGCAGGGAGGTTTGTGACTGTCCAATGCGGGACAGGCATACACGGTCGCAGGTGAAAGTCCGGCCTGGGCTCAATGGCATAGAGTTGTAGTAACCCTTTTACTTGCTTCTATGATAGCTATAATCTTCAAATATTCAAATGTAATGTCAATCGACATCTGCTGATGCCTTTATCCTGATCCCCGTCCTTCGCTGTATCCTTTCCTCAGACACCTTCTTTACTCTTGCTCTTACTCTCTGTAACCCCTTGCGTGCTAGTGGCATTCCCGCCTTGCTTGGGGTGATATGCTTAAAAGTACTATACAAATACCTGGTATGCTGTGTAATCTATGGTATTAATATTTATAGAAGTCGATGTGATATTTAATGTGTTTACACGTAGAATTTTAAATGTTCGCTGACAAATTTTACATGATCGCCAAGTTATACCGATACAATATATGGTTACTACCAGTGTCTGTTGTAAGTTGTTCGCTATAGAACGCATGTAGAAAGATCATCATCATGGCTTAGCTTTGCAAAACAATGATCAAGAAGGAGTCTATACACGTTGCTTATCCAGAGACGAATATGCAATATGATAGGTCCTGATCTGGCATCTCGTCTACAGACGTGCCGTAGCTTACCTCTATCTTTTCTATAAGTATTTTCACGCCAACTGCTCTGACGAACTACATTCACTGGTTCCCAAACTGCATGAATTTAAGCGTGCAACTAGATTGGCATCTCATCCCCACCCTTTCATTGTCGAAACGGTTAAATATAGCTGTCTCTTCTACTCCAACAGCTTCTTATCTCGCACTGTCAGTGGAACTCCCTTCCTCTTATTTGATAGGTATAATCTTCAAATATTCAAATAAATATAATGTCAATCGACATCTTCTGATGCCTTTATCCTGATCCCCGTCCTTCGCTGTATCCTTTCCTCAGACACCTTCTTTACTCTTGCTCTTACTCTCTGTAACCCCTTGCGTGCTAGTGGCATTCCCGCCTTGCTTGGGGTGATATGCTTAAAAGTACTATAAAAAAAATCCCCCAAAACTACCTGGTATGATGTGTAATCTATAGTATTAATATTTTATAGAAGTCGATGTGAACTTTAATGTGTTTACACGTAGAATTTTAAATGTTCGCTAACAGATTTTACGTGTTCGCCAAGTTATACCGATACAATATATGGTTACTCCCAGTGTCTGTTGTAAGTTGTTCGCTATAGAACGCATATAGAAAGATCATCATCATGGCTTAGCTTTTGATCAAAAAGGAGTCTATACACGTCGTTTGCAGGCACGTTTGTGACTGATAAGTCCAATGCAGAACAGGCATACACGGTCGCAGTAGTTGTAGCCTGGGCTCAATGGCATAGCGTTGCAGTACTTCCTTCTCTGCTTCTTGTCCTTGAGAGCGACCCTGCAGGTATTTGCAAAGAAAGAGACAGAATGGTTAGTGGCGAAACGCAAGGCGTCACAATTCTCAGCTAGGGTTGAACATAAGCAATGGTTAATGTGACAGGCAACAAAGGATTTTTTCAGGCAATCTTTGAATCGCTTCTTTGGTGTCCCTCAACTAAGATAGCCAGTGGAGAGCTCACTGTACAATAAAATTTTAGGCAGGTGATAATTCTCCATCCTGGAAGCACGTCCAACTCAGCGCACCTGGGACTTCAGCAGCATCGCCTCAATGCTGGTGATTTTCGCCTTTTCAAGAACTTCAGTATTAGAGACGAAGAAGCAACAGAAATGTGGTTCTACAGAAGGGTGCCGAGGATACCGTGGATCGAACATATGAGTAATGACGAAATTTTGGTAAAAATGGAAACAAAAAGGAAACTAGTCCTGAATATCAGGAAAAGACAGTTGATGTTTCTCGGACATATAATGAGGAAAGTGGGCTTAGAAAATCTGATAGTCATGGGGACAAATAGAGGACAAGCGGAAGACAACGCATGCGAGAAAAGAAACTATTAAAATAGAACTGATAATTGCATCTAGCTAGTTCAACAGTAAAAGTGTGGGACCTACTTGCCAATCTAGTAACGCGCTTAAATTCATGCAATTGGGGCGCAAAGGAGAAAAGCTCCTCAAAACAATTGCCATGAGAATATTTATAGAAAAGACAAAGCAAAGCCACATCACAGTGATGAAAAAGTGACTGAAATCGAGATGCCAGGTTGTGGGGAGAAGAAGAGGATTCACACCTTTCCCAAGAGCATTTGCGCGTAAGTGAATATCACTCAGTTATGTGCCACGCGTGATACACACTTAGACGATCAGTTATCTTTCGATACATGACTGCCGAGGCAGATGTTTTCCCGCAGTAGGTTGCCATTTCTGTCCGCGGGAGGCACCCAAGGCTATAGAACCCGATCTGTCCTGCTATTTACCCATAGCTGGGGACGCGGTGGGTTACAAGAAGTGAAAGTGAAAGAAAACTGAGAATGGGGAGAATTGAGGAAAGGACAAAAACGGAACACGGTTCAAGAAGACAGAAGATGGCGACTGACGTTGCATTTGAATTTTTGAAAATTGTAGTTATTAGGGAAGCATACACATGGAAGGGCGGTCTACAGATGAGAAGTGCGAGAAAAAACTTTTAGAGTAGAAGTTGTGGTCGTATCTATCTAGTTCAACAGTAAAACTGTGAGACCTAGTTGCCAATCTAGTAGCACGCTTAATTTCCTGTAGTCAAGGTACCAATCCATTTAAATACTGCCAATCCTGTTCACAAATAGCCGTGATAATTAATGACCTCAACTGCTCACAAATCATCATGAATGGTAAACTTTTCATCGTAAAAATATTGACAACCTGCTCAAAGTATCTGGCCATCATAAGCATCAATATGAATATAGATCCGGAAAATACCGAAGTTAATATATTCCCTTTGTAAATACTAAGAGAATTTAAAAAAAATTCATTTTGCCCCAAACAAGGCAATAAACCCACTATAACTCAAAGGGTTATTGAATATGAAAGAATAAGAAAAAAAAGTATAGATCCGGAATGTCCCGAAAAATGCCGAAGTCAATATATTCCCTTTGTAAATACTAAGGGAATTTTTAAAAAATCATTTTACCCCCCAAAAGGCAATAAAGCCACTATGACGCAAAGGGTTACTGAGTAACATTTATTATTATTATTATTTAAACATTATTAAGGAAGGAGAACAATAAAAGAAGAGAAATCAAGAAGAGGAGGGATATCCACTGACATTGTATTTCAATTTTTGATGATCAAAGTTGGCTGGAAAACAGGAAACTGGAAGATCGTTCCAGAAGCCAGAAGTGATAGATAAGAATTTTTTTTGATGGTGGGGGTGTCTATTTGCCTATAGCTGGGACCTTAACAGGTGCTACTACCCCGGTTAAAGTGAACCTGGGAACAACAGAAATTGAGACACCGAGTGTGGAAGAATAAGAAAAAAAAGAAGGGAAACGTTATTAAAGAGGAAAAACAATAAAAGAAGACAGTAGATAACGATTAACATTGCGTTTAAAGATCAAATTTGGTCGGAAAGCATGGAGCCGGAAGAGAGTTCGACAAGCGAGAAGTGCTCGAAAAGAAACTGTTAGCATAGAACTTACGGTTGCATCAACTGTAAACGGATGAGACCTTATGGCCAATCTAGTACTGCGCTTTAATTCACAAAGTCCATGTACTATAGCGGAAAATTCATCCGAACAATTACGATGAAGGTATTTATAGAAAAGGCAAAGGGAAGCCATATTACGGTGGTGAGAAAGTGACTGAACATTGAAGACGACATGCCAAATCAGAACCAATAATCTCTAAATATATGGCAGGATCACTGCATAATTTGTGGCAGCTAATATTCAAAGCATGGCCCTAGATTTAAAAATATAAATCCTGGAGCGAAAACTGGTGAGCACAACACAGTAAATCAACTTTCTTAACAGAAGACCCAGCAATTGATTCAATATTTAACTTTCCACTTCATATCAGCTGAGAATGTTAGCCCGAAAAAAGGTGCAGTGAGTCACTCTCCTAGAGGTTAGCATAAGAAACATATGAGAACAATACAAGAACAATAATGCTAATAAGATAACGATTGACATTTCATTTAATTTTTGGAAGTTGACTGGAAAGCTAAAAGCCGAAAGAGAGTTCCACAGGCGAGAAGTGCGATAGAATAAATTTTTAGCACAGAAC